AAGAAAATCCTTGCTGCTGTGTCCTGTGGCGCGCTGCGGAAGAGTAGAAAGTCCTTGATACGCCACTTTCAACTTCCATCGCTTCCGCGGCCCTTGCAAGAGCATGAGACGTTGCTATTGGAGGAGGGTGAGAGGAGATTGGAGTTTGGAAGTGATTCGTACTTCCTTTTCCAGCTCTAAGAGGAGATAAAGATCTCGATTTTTTTTTGGGCTTTGGGAATGGGAAATGGAGGGCGAAAAGGCAGAGTAAGGAGTACTATTTCTTCTCCTGTTTATGGTTGCGGCGAAGGGGTCATGCGGAGAGCATAGACGGGGAGGGGGTCTGAGGGGTCGGATTTTGCCTTGGTCGAATAATTCGTCGGCTGATGTTAACGCCGGCGGCTGCGCGTTCTTCTCGAGATGGCCGCTGAAGTCGAAGGCAAAGTCGTCTTCAACTCCGGCGGCGTTGGGGCTATTTGGGGCGCCGGCGTAGGGGTAGTAGAATTCCATGGGATCTACGCCGAAGTGTTTTTGGCTCGACGGCGCGCTCATGTACGGCGTAGTCGTCACGCTTTAGAAGTGGAACTCTTGAACCGGCATCATCACTTCCATGTATTTCCCCAGTTCTCTTCTTCCCCGACGGGATGTGACGGCATGAGTAACGGAGTGGTAGATACGTAAATATTAATGTTTTGGTGTTAGATATGTATTTTCAATAGTTTTAAGTGTTATGTATGTAAAAATCCCTAATTTAAATTGTATGTCAATTACTTGATCAAATGATTTTTTAAGCCTGTCAAGTTATTATAAAAATATATAAAGAGATCGTGTATTTTAAATAAATTGATTTCCGACTCTTCCCAACAAAAAAATTATTCTGTGCAGAATCCAAACATGTTCGGAGGTGAATTGAGACGCGCCACATCACCGGGGCCCAGTGCATGCGATGATGTGGCACTCCCCAGTTAGCCTCCCAATGTGTTCCAATTCCAACGGAGTTTTTTTTCATTGACTATTATATGCCGCACGAGCCACATCTACTCTCCTTTGACGCTCGTGCTGACCTCATGAATAAAAATCGTGACTTGACTTTTTCAGCGGTTTTGCTAAAACCGCCGCGGTCAACAAGAAATACTTATAATTTCCATGAATCCTCCCTCACATGCCCGCCACCACGCGCAGCCCTCTCCTATAAATATTCTCCAACTCCAAGCTCTGAGAGCACTTTAATTTCAAAAGACGCACTCTCTTCTCCATTGAATCCTTCTAAATTTGCAAAACACTGGCAATGAGTACTCGAGGCTGTAGAGCGCTATTGCTGGTCATCATCGTCATCTCCATCGTCTTTGCGGCAAGCATGCAAAGCTCTGCCGCTCTTCGTCCGATGCCGGAGGAGCCGAACGGCACAAGAAATCTTGCTGCAGGGCTGAGTTTCTATGAGCAAGCAAAGGAGGTGATGGCTTTGTGGATGGAGAGGTTGCCATCGGGGCCGAGCCCAGGAGGTGCGGGGCACTAAATGAAGCTTTCGGCTGCAGAAGTATAAATGTTCAGAGTTTGTTATGTATGTATGTAATTAATGTGGATAAGATCAATGGAGGCCAGTAATTGCAGTGTATTTCATGGCTTTTTAGCTTTGCAATTCATTTTGTCCTTGACCTAGCAATGAGGCTTAGGTTAATTTTAGGACTATTTAGGCGATAGCGATTTACTTTTGATTCTTTTATTTGTAAGTTTCTGGCTTTTAATGATTTGTAATAATCAGTGTTGGTTGAGAGCTTTGTAATAATCAGTGTTGCAATCATAGAAACTCTACCTCTTTACTTTAAGTACTTTTGTTGTTGTTGTTATTGTTTTTTGGTTTTTTTGGGTACCAAACAGGCATTTCTTGTGGATATTTAGGACGATTGAACAATGCCTAATTTCATGAGCTCAACTTAATGGATGATCAAACGAGATAAAATAATGGAACCCTCTCATACAGTCTAACCCATCACGCATTAAGATTGGACCATTATTTGTAGCAATGAACTTTTACATCCCTTGTGAAAAATCCCTGAATCTCTTGGTTTAAGAAACTTTTTAATATTATTTTCAAGATTAAAAAGATGTCAGATGCGTAGAGAAGAGCTGTATTGGTTCCTATTTATGAGAATAAAGATGATGCACACGTGTCTGAATTATAGGTGAATTAAATTAATGTCTTATACATTAAAATTAAGGGGGAGAGTTATTGAGAATAGGTTACGACTGTTGGAGAATTTTTGTATCCGCAACAACGACGCTACAAAAAAGTTGGCAGTTTATGGCGAATTTTTTTTGGTTGAAAATAAAAACGGATTTGCGACTGAAATTTAAGACGAATTTTTATCATATAAATAAGAAAAAGCTTTTAATTTTATTTTGTCTCAATGGCCAGGTAGGGGGGAGAAGGGAAATGATTTTTCATGAGTGGAGTTCAAAACTCAAGCAGGCCAGTCAGGCAATGAGTTGGCGCGAGGATTTCGATCAGATGCAAGTAGTCTGAATAGGCTTGACAGTGAGCAATTCGATTAAACACAGGTAGCAGGTAGCTGGTAAAAAAAAAAAAGGTAGCAGGTAGCTGGCCTGGATGGGCAGAATTTGTGGGTTTCTTTTCTGTTGAAATTCAATCGCATATCAGCTAGAAATATTTACGACAAATTTTTTCTGCTTCAAATAATTTTACGACATCATTTTTTGTGTCGGATTATATTTCGCTGCATAATATATTTTCCAACAAATTTTCCTTGCTTTGGGTCGTATTTGTCAATCGTAAAAAAGGTATCTTTCTTGTACTGCGTTGTGATACAAATGTTTCTTAAAATAAAATTGGATTTATTACTATGGAAGCTATACATTTATGGAGGTTGACGGAGAAATATAGAGAGAATGGGGTGGATCTACCTATAATATTCATTTATTTATAGAAAGCCTATGATAAAGTTCTAAGAGAAATGCTCTGGAGAGTTCTATAAAAAAGAAAAGAGTTAATAATGCGTATATTCAAGTCATTAATGATATGTCCCAATTCCCCTCTCTAATTTGAAACCCCACCAAAGCCGAAGCTTCGGGGCTCCCTTCTCTGCTCGAGAAATGCCTCCTTCCTCCAACTCCAAAGCCTTGCGTCAGCCTACAGGACTCCGACTTCCTCTATCCAAGCCAACTTATAAATGCTTAAGCATATTGTGAATTCTCGTAAGAGATTAAATATAACAAACATTCCAAAATAAAAAGTACTTAAGCCCTATTAATATGGTAATTAGTGGTTTGTTGAGGATGATTGAATTAAGTTGAAATTGTTGCACGGTTCCAATACATGCCTCCATGAGTAAACAGGCACTAAGATTAGTTTCAACATGGCGAGTAGATTAATGTTGGATAAGATGATTAGCAATTGATTGGAATCTTGAACTATATTAAGTGGCTGAGAGCTTTTGGAGGTTGACTTAGGATTGATCTTGTATTCAATCTCTCTCAGTCTGATCATAACCAAATCTAATCTAGTATCACCTTGTCTGATAAACCAAAGGAACTTGAATTGATTTAACATAGGCTAGAACTAGTTGAACTGAATTGATTTAAACCAATAAAAGCTAAGCTTGAAGGGTGGTAGGGAGTCTAACACTATCGCAACAACCTCGCTCACACATTACCACAAACTTCTCACATGAATTATCCGACTTAGCCAAATTGATAAGCTAAAGGGCTTGGGCAACAAATTCAGCCTTAGAGTTTACGAGTTAACCAGATGCAACTATCAATACAAATCGTTGAGACAAAACAACCCAAAGAAATGATCAATTTGGATAGGACATGTTGAGCAAAGCCAAACTAGCTAGATCAGGTCATGCCAGAACAAACATGTTGTAGAAAACTTAACCAAGTTGAGGCCAAGCAGGTGTAGACACAGGTTTTTTGAAGGATCCAACCTGGATGCATATAAGAGATTCAGGCATGCTTAAAAGTCCAACTCAACAACTGAAGTTTCCAGCATATATAGTCACCAATAGTTCAGGATGATTGGATTTGAACATTTAGTAACATATAAGATGGATGAAACTTTTACATGAATTTGCTCAACCGATTTCATGGAACAATGAGTGTGGTTTTTCACATGCAAGAATAAGACATTTACTCACACATAACAAGATCATCTTTTGCTGGTTTGTGGAAGACCAATGACTGCCTCGAAGCTGAATTCCTCTCCAGGAATGAATGCAGCTTCAATTTCATCATAACTCTGCTCGACTCTAAGTTCTCTGGTCACATTTAGACCTTCCTAAAGCATCCGACAAAGATAAAAATAAGAAATATAACTAGGAGAATGAATATTAAATAAATTGTGATGACCAAGGATCAAAAAGTAATTAAAACAAGTCATCAACGCAATCATCATTATCCTTATCACAATTATTTGTGATAAGGTTTATAAATCCTCATCTTCAATTCATTCTTGTTGTTTGAAGTGTTAAGCCTATTTTTTGCAATCATTTAGAGCAATTTCTATCGAAGTTACCTTAGGCATACTCTTTTTGTCCTTCATAATCCTCCAATATTAATTTATATAGCCGTCTAATATGTGCATTTTCAAACCTTTATTATACATATCCAAATCACCAAAATTTATTTCCAATTACCTTTAATTGAAGTCGTTCAAATAATTTATTTAATATAATCAATCTATAACTTATCCTTCACTGTTTTATCACACATACATCTTCATACAACAAAATCGTCCTGTCTATAATTTTTATTAAAGTAAGCCTACATGATATTCTACTATTATAGAATTGAAATAAATCTAGAATCTATATCACCAACAAACTCCATATTCTTCTATATAATAAATTCAATATACTTAAAACATATTGCGTCTAAGCTTAACTTTATCTTCATTTTCATAGTCCTAAGCAATATAAGAAAATATGAACTCAAATGTTGATCCACATGTAATCATTATTATAATTGGAAATTTCTAGGCCAATTTGCAACTATTTTTAATACTAGCAGTGTTACATCATGCATATTTACATTTTGTGTGTGTTATAATTATCTAAATACAAAATACGATAAATTTTCCTCACCACAAATCAAATTAAAATTAGTTCCATAAATAATTTAATTCAATTTGATATATTTCCACTGCAACAACAAACAATCATGCAAATTTTAGCATCTTAAGAGTTTTTTTTTCCAATTTTTTTATATGGTTAGTGAATTTAGAAAAGTGATGGCAGTAAGTGAATTACCTTTGAGACATACTCAGTAACCGTGGTGTTGATGACCTTCAAGATTGTCTCTTTCATTACTTTAGATACTCCAATGATTTGTAGGAGAACATCTTTAGGAATCTATCATGAATAGGATGGAAAGAAAAAAGATAAGCATTGGCGAAGTTTAAGAAAAGCATAAAGAAGCAGTGCTGATGTTTCATAAAATTCTTATGAGATGTTGCAAGGCTGCAGGACATGAACTATGACTGTATTTCAAGCTAATGCTAATATCTCATATTTATATAATTGCAGTACAAAAAACTAAAAAAAATGCACACATACAGCATTAGTGGAATTGATAACTAAGTAGGTATTTAGATCCTTGCAGCTTGGTGTATTAAAAAGGGGTCCAAGATGTTCAAATTAAACCAATCAATCATAAGAAATTCAAAATTCATTAAACAATCAATAATAAACAATCAATAATAACAAACTAATTTTTAGAGCCAAATAACATCTGAAGAAGTAAGATACCAGCCGCGATAGCTGACCTGAAACTACTTTAGACTGACAAACTGCAGTTACTGATAGAATTATTAAATCAGGTAATCTTTTTGGAAGAATATAATAGATAGATTAATGAGATATATGACAAATAAATTAGAAAAAATAAGTAGTCAACTTTAATAAAGATGCAAAAAGGTAATACATTGGGTTTATATGAGATATTTATTAAGAATAGGAGTAATAGGTTTTATTGAGAATTTTAGTTAATTATTTTAAATTAAATTTTGAAGATCAATGGAATGACAAATGATTGTATAAGTATTTTTTGTACCAGTATTCTAGAGCGAAGTTATGTAAATGATTATTATAATTATAAAAGAATTGAAATCTATGAGCATATAATGTGAGAAGCTAAAGGAACAAGAACATCAGATTTTTTTTTTTTTTTTTTAATTTAACAAGAACATAAGATATGACAATATAGAAAGATCAATTTCGTTTTATGCTAAATAATTCATTATGGACATGCTAATGGAAAACTATAGAGCAAAAAATATATATATTTTTTATTGATCTTTAAATGGCATAAAGTTGAGTTCAACAAATTGCTTTTGTGCGCGCTAAGGAAAATATGAGTGTGCTAATGATAAATTAAAGTTATCAAATATGATATAATGTTAACTAGTACTGTAAGTTGTAAAATGTCCTAGGAGCTACTAATCACAATAGTTATACATAAAGGATCAAAATTAAATCTATATCTTTCCATATAGCTTATGGATATGCTACAACCGATATTCAAAATGATGTAACATGATATATAACTTTTTGCAGATGAGATAATATTAAAAGATAAGACCTCACTCAAAATAAGTGGAAAGTAAGAAGATAAAGAAAATATATAAGATTTAGGGACAAAGATAAGAAGAAAAGACTAGTGAAGTTGGATGTAAGTGTTTATTAGAAAAGACAATATTACAAGTACAAATATGTTCGGATATATGTTTTAAATTAAAATTTTGGAATGACCTATAAGAATTAATACAAATGATACTTGACAAAAAAATTTATTGGAGAAGATTTAAATGGACATTTTCGTAAAGTGGTAGAGGATTTTAAAAGTATTCATAGTGGCTCTGAATTTGAAGCAACTACTAAAGGTTATAGGATCATATTAGATTTTGCTCCAACTTATAATTTTGTAATTATTTATACCTTATTTACGAAAGAAATGAGGGAAAGAGGGATGTCTCACGGGGCAGGTTGATTCGGATTTTGGCAGTGCGTGTGTGTGTATTTCATCATGCTGAGTGGAGGAGACCAGAGAAAAGCGAGTTCGTTGTATCAATAAATATATGTATGGAAAAAGAAAATATTGCTTACATCTGGCGTTTTCCCTGCAAAGTTCATGCCATCCGCCATGCAGAACAAAAAGTAACGAAGTCAGTTTATAAACGCCAAACAGGTAATAGACAGGCCAAAAAAATAGCTAGTAATAGCACGGTATAAAAAAAAAAAAGATGGTTTTCTCTAAAGTCCTGAAAATCATTAAACAACAGAACAAGTTTGCCTAATTGTATTATAAGTAGGATAAGGATACAAAACAAAATGTTATAATACTGAATAATAATTGTTTTTCCATACACTGAATAAAAGGTTGACTGTTGCTATTCTCATCCAATGGACATTAATGTAACATAAAATGTAATCACAAACAATACTATATTCCAGACAATTTCTCTTGCTGCATTAAGGAAAAAAAAAAGAGAAAAAATCCTCCAGAATTGAAGAAAATCAAATACTACTCATAATATTGTATACTAAGCAATAAAAAATGCAAGGTTGATAAGAAACTCTCAATTTTTCTATGAAAATGCACCTCCTTTAACTCTCCGGAAACCAGGAATTGGTTGTGCAGCATCAACTAGCTTGGAGAAAACATCATCAAAGATTTCTTGTGTCCTTGCACCAGATACATCAACCCTTACCTGCATTTCATTATAAATGAAGCATATTAGAATAAAAAAGGTGATAGTAATCACATCTTTCTCTAGTATCAGGAAACCTTCAGTTCAATCTCTTGTATATATCAACAAAGACATAATCATAGAAAACTAAAGAAATACAAAAGAGGGAGAAAAAGTGCACACCTTGATCTCTCTCTGCTCACCAACATCAGTTGAAACTCTAAAATCTTTGAAATTAGTTGTAGACAGACTGAGACTTTGAATTCCTGTATTATAACAATATACTTACTGAGACTCTCTAAAACAAATTTTCTGAAAGCAAGGAATTAATTATGTACCGGAAGAAACGGTAGAGAACGGAGTGAAAATCCTGTGTCTGGCACTGCGTGTAAAACTCATATTGTTAATATAAAGAATTCAATAGGATAAAGGGAAAACACAGTTCGGATGCATTATCTCTTTAGCAAGGAATAATGATGCAACTCATACAAAATCCTATTTATGACAAACATGGTGAAAATGGAAACTGGAGAAGAAGAACCAAAAAGAAAAAAAACAAAACGATTAATTTAGTTCCATCTAAATCGATTGTTATTAAAAAAAGAACCAAAATCTTATAACATATTCAAGTTTTCAAAGAAGGCTCCCATCGGAATCAAATTTTACAAAAAATAGCATTGGGTAGCACCAGTAGAAAAATTGATGACAATGAAATATCATGTTAGGGTAAGCTAGAAATGAAATTTCATGTGAACGGCTTTAATAATCAAATAGCACTAGCTCAAGCTGTATACAACTAGTTCCGAGGGTAGAACTCATAAGTTCAAGTATTACCTATATCCTTTTTAAATTAAATATTCACCACGTCCAGGTCTGAAATTCCATCTATAGCAGGCCATATGCCCAGTTATCTGTAATTGGTTTTGTACTGAACTTTAAATTAATAAAATATTTTCAATAAAAGGAGAAATGTTTTTGTCAAAATTACCAGCATTAGTACTGATGCCCCCCAAAAAAAAAACATCACAGATCTTGTCAGGATCATTAACTTATACTGCTAGATTCGTTTTCTTAGCATGATTTGAAAGAAATTATGAGCACAAATCATGCGAAAAAAGCAAAAACACATCTGGTTCATTCAACTTAGATCAACTCCACCATCTCATGTTGAATAACTACATATAAAATAATAATAATAATAATAATAATAAAAACCTCGTAGCAGTTCGTTTAGAATCACTTTTCAAACGACCATAAAAAAAATTTCTTTGTAGCGACGGTACTCTAGCAAGGATGCTATGTTTTAGCCTCGGCACAGTGAATCTGTAAAAATGAATGAAACAAGAAGTGTTTATATTGTTTGCACATTTGAGTAAACAGTATAGAACTTCGAAATTAAATGAAGCAAACATCACAAAAGGCACCATAATAATTTAATTTTGGGCAGAATAGCATACATGAATTCAACTGTTAGGCTGTAGTTGACAAAAAGAATCATAATATAGAGTCAATAATTTCCAAGACAAATGATGCAAAAAAATGAATAATCCTACAAAGAAGGAAAAATAGAAGTGGTAGAAACAATTTCTAGAATAGCAGATTCTTCTGTTGGAGGTTTACTCTACCACCAATAAAATGGTAAGCCTTGAGCTGTTTCCATTCTACACTTTCATAGGCTTACTTTATTCTAAAAAGTAAAACAGTTCACTCATGGTGCTTGGACAAGAAAGTCAAAGGCATGTTAGATAACAAACAGTAAGCATGATGAACCACATCAAGAAGGCATAAGAGATGATTTGTTACATGAATATAAATGAGGCTAGAATATATTTCTCATGATGAGCTTCCACCCTCATTATATCAATAAATAAATAAACCCGTAAATTACGAACAGACTTGTGGATTGCTTTAGAAATTAATTGAAATTCTAGGATTAATGTATTTTTTAGTTGGCAGAAAAGAATTAACTGGACATTTTCCATAAGGTTGAATAAATTTGAGCTTCTTGGAAAAATATTTCATACTATCATAGTGTAGTTTAAGAATTTAAAAAAAAAAAAGATAAACCCATCATAAAATCCACATCAAAGGCCACGAGAGATTCATCCAACATGAACAAAATTGAAGTTCAGATATGAAAGTTTTTTGGAATTATATGTTTGATTAAAATCTAAAAATCAAGTATTAAATTTCAATAATATGAATTTTTAATTTTAATCATTTCCCTTCAGGTGGGAAGCTTTATTTATAAATTTTCCCTTTATTTTACTTTAGCCTTGTTTGTAAGGTAGGAGCAACCACTCCTTGATTGGAGTAGAGATTGAAGCAGTCGGAGATGTAAATAAGTTGAGTTGAGCTCCAACCATGCCGAACTCGAGCTCAGCTCATCGATGAAATTGCAAGCTCAAACTCGAGCTCAACTCAAAGGGTGAGCTCGAGCTCGACTCATGGCAATAATAGCGGGCTACCGAACCAGCTTGTGAGGTAGAAGCAAGCTAGAAGATGTAGTCACAGTAGCTCTACGAAGAAGTCAACATGATCGACCACTGTAGAAGGCTTTAATATGAATTACGGCTTTCTTCTTATAGGAGCTTGTGACGAAATTGATTATTATAACAAGAAGTATACTTGCAATCCAATTAATTAATCAAAAAAAATCAAAAGTGATTTTCCTTCCAAAATAGCAGCTTTGTTATCCTATTAATGAATACCTCATTAACCAATAGTTGTAGAAGAGCCTCAAGAGCGTAACGGATAAACTATTGGATACACGAGCAAGCTCACCGGTATCGCCTCTCCTCGTCAAGTTCAAACTTGAGATCATTTAATAAAAAAGCTCAAGTTTAATCTAAAGCTTGATCTCACAGCTCAATAATCCCAGCTCTTCACCTCGTTAGCGAGTCTAGCTCGAGCCAGCTCTGCTCCCTTAAACCCCTAGGCCTCACTAGCATTTATTCTTTGCTTTCAATTTTTTCTCCTTTTTAATTTTCCTAAGAATCAAATGTATAGCTTTAAATATTTGCTTTGTTGAATAAAATTCAAATTTTAATTTTTGATAAAAATTTTGAGATGGAAATATGTAGAGTTGCAGGGTTGATGGTCCCACCCCCAACCTTTGTTAGGTGATTTATGGTTGAAGTTTTTGGATTCTTCTTAGATGAAGATATAGGTGTCCATCTTATCTCTTGTTGATCTCTCTCCCAACCTCTCTTCCTTCCCCTCCCAAACTTCCCTAGCCTCTTTTATAGGTTTTTCCCATCCCCCACAGCAAGAAAAATTTCTCAAATCCTCTTGCAAGTGGTCAGCCCAAACTAAAGAATCCTTGATCTAGTTTTTCTCACCCCCTTCCACCACCCTCTAAACTACTTTAATCTCAATCAAAAACTCCATATCAAATTTTCACACATCCCTCTGACCCTTCCAAGCTTCCTCAACCCCCAAGGATACCATCAAACCCATCCCCCAATCACATATTACAACACTAGCCAAAATTAATCCAAATAAGGGACCATATAATAGTCATAGTACAGCCTCTACTAAACACCATTAAACACGTTGAATAGCCTCCAAAAACTCCAAATTGCATCTCCTAACCTTCTCCAACAACATTATAGAGGATTCATGCCCTAGGCCTAAAAGAGAGATCCTAAAGTTTAGTTCTAGTGCAGATTTGAGCCCCTTCTCGCTAGTCCTATACCCCACATAAAAATTCCTCATCTACGAGTGTTCCACACATCCTGAACCACCCAACACATCAATAAGTAGCCTTGAATACAACCCTAGTGAGGAGAATTCAAAAAAATAATCAAATTTTGAAACTAAAATTTTTAAATTTTATGGATGAATTTTCATGCAATTACAACCTAATAAGTCTTTTATACAAAATATATGATTATGAAAAATATGAAATAATAAACATATAAGATTGATGTTTCGCTTGAGCTCTTGTTAGCTTTCTTCTGCTTCTCTAATTTGCTTCTTATGATTGATGCAATATTGTCACCTTGTGGCACACCAACAATGCAAATAGATGAGTTTTTTTTAGTGGATTAAGATAGATGATTATCAAAAAATCACTTTTGCTAAGATAAAACCAAATAATCATGTAAAGATCTATTATACCAACATATAAAAAAACAAAGATTAGAAAGAACCAACCACAATTGCGTAGAGCTAAGGAGATGCTTAGAGCCAAGTATTGCCCAAGATATAATAAGAAGAAATTAACGACATTTTCATCCAAAGAAAAGAGTGAGAAAGATGATGTTAACCATATTGGAATTATGAGGTATTTAACAATTTATGGGACTGGGATAGAGGATTGGAAAAAGAAAAATTATTTTCTGCATATATGTGATGTGCAAAGAAAAAAAGTGTCGAAGTGTAGAATTATTATTGATAGTGAGAGTGTCATGAATGTAATATCCACTCAAATACTAGAAAGGGCTAACCTCAAGACTGAATTGCACTCGAAGCCCTTCTATGGGAGATGGTTGAACCACGCCACCCTCCCTATCACTACTAGGTGACTAATTCCTCTTATGATGGGTTGTTATGAGGATAAAATCTGGCAGATATCCCGTCCATAGACATTGCAGACATCATTTTAAGTTGACTACGGTTATATGATCTGATTGCTATCCACTATAACAAAGAGAATACTTATGCGTTCAAACATATTAACGAAATCATCAAATAGTTACCAATCAAACCTAGAAAGAAGATATCTCCATTTACATTCCATAATCTTATTCCTATCATCCAACCAAAATCCAATCAAAAAAAGAGTGCTAAGCTTCAATTTAAGGTGATTAGGCACCCTACTGCTAGGGTAGATTATGATATTACTAATCCAAATAGACCCATTAATGTGGCTACTATCCCAACTCATGCATTTTTAAATTATGTTTTAGCATTCATATGAGATTTTCAATCATTTCACACTGACGTGAGAGAACAAAAATCTTAAAGTAATGTAAAGTATGTTGAAAGGGTAAATCACAATTGCTCTTCCAAAGAATATATGCAAGATGATTATTAATTGGCTCATTTTTATCCTGATATATATTTATGTACAAATAATAAGAAATTATAAGTTAAGACTTGAATCCCATTCAAATATTTTTAAAAAACTTGAGCCTACTATACACAGATTTTGATTTTGTGGGCTCCGAAAATTCGCCCCTGGCCTCCCCGCCGCGCAATTTCTTTCTATTATGAGCGAGGGAGTTTTAACGAAATAAGTTCCAGGGTAAATTTTGGAAGGCAGATGGGTTTGTAGATAAGACACTACCCAGAGATTTCACCCTCACTTGGTGAGGACTTTATGATCTGAGTTCTGGTTTCCTATAGGCGCAAGCCCCTATAGTTAATTACCCCTCCCGATCACGAGAGAGAACTTTCGATTAAGGCTAGTTGTCAATCAGATACGTAGAGATACGTGTTATCTGGCATATAGTAGCAGCATAAATTAGATTTGGAAATTGGGTTTGGATTTGGGAATTTGGAAAATTTTGAAAAGTTTGATATTTAAAATATAAAATTTCACCACCTAACACTTAAAGCGGATGGTGGGGGAATGGATGATGGGCCCGATCAAGATCCCATGGTTCTATCGTCCCGGGCCATCGTGGTCCCTGGTCTACTTAGTCAGAGGAGGTAGTCGACCCAACCTGATAGAAGGATCCTTGTCGGCAGCCATGGGTTGCTTCGTCCAAGGGGGACCTTGTAGACTTGGGTTGAATGTTTGTCTAAGGGGACAAATTTGAATCCACCTTAGCTTACAGAGGGCTTTGTGCCCTATCGATCATATCCTATTGATTCATATCTCAAGGATTTGATGCCAATAAGAAGCGTATTGGCTCTGGCCATAACCGGTATATCGTGGTGCCATTTGGTGGCAAAACCACTCGGTTCAGAAGGCCCCGGGATGTCATAACTATTTATCCTGCGGTGCCATTTGGCGGCAGACCGCCGGTTAGAGGACACGTATCACGTCCTTACTGGCAGGAGATTGTTTGAGAATGGATCCTAGTGATATTTTCGACTAGGCATTTGGCTCTTTGTGAGCTAGAATTTATTTGAATTTGTCCACCCCGGCAGACTGTCGCAGAGGGTGGATGGATTTTGCTTTAAGCATTGGGATGGATAATTTCATTTTTAAATATTTTCGGAATTTTAGGATTTGTTGGATTTTTGGATTTTTATGGGTATTTTGGGTGGAGCTTTGGAATATTTGAAATAGACTTTGGATATTTGGGATTTTTGTGGAGTTTTGGATTTTGGACTTTTGGGAGGCATTTAAAAATGCCTGAAATTGATCCCTCCGGTTGAGATCTTCATTCAACACGGCCATCATCGGGGTGACCTCGAGGTCACTTGAAAAATATTTGAATTTTGTAGAAGTTTGATGGCATTTTGAAATATTTTGTGAACCCCTATGGTTGAGATCTGCATTCAACACGGCCATCATCGGGGTGTTTTGGGGTTATTTCCTTTTTGTTGATTGATTCTTGTCAACTCGCCCAAACTGTTGCTCGAGGATCGGGTTTCTTATAGGCTTTGTGCCTTTGTTTAGTGAATTTTCTTGATTTTAGGCCTTGAAGGCCGAATATGAATGTATTAAAATAAATATTCCGGTCACATTCGTGACCGTATATTTATCTGGGAATTTGAACCCTGTCTACTCCTATTCACCTGCTTAGGAGGATCGGATTTCGTAGGCTTTGTGCCTTTGTTTAGTGAATTCTTTTGATTGTAGGCCTGAAATGCCTAATACGAATGTATTGAAACAAATACACTAGTCGCCACAGCCGTGCATTCGTTTAAAGGTTCGTACCCTATCGACCTCTATTGATCCGTATAGAAGGATCGGTTTCGAACAAGAATTCACTTATCGACCCGCGCAGCATCCGTAGGCGTCACGTGTGTACCAATAACACGCTCGCCGGGGCCCATGCGGGTCGAGATTGCATTTACCCCTTTAGTGTACCTATGTGTATACAATTCATAGTGCACGTACATGGGTACTTTGAAATAATTGTAGTTGTGCAAATAACTATCATTTGGATGCACACAACTTTTTCACTTAAGAGCTTATACACGCCTTCTGTCTGCTAATACGAGTGTTGCGGATCCGGTGGCGTTCTAGTCTTGATATTGACTCCCCCTTTTTTCATTCACCGGGGAAAGATTTTCTGGATTTTGGAGTCAAAGACTGCTGATTTGGAAAGAACTCCTTTTAGGCTTTTTGACGTAGTGGACTTGCTATTTCCGGTGTTTGTGGGCACTCGAACTGTTCTCTTCTTAATTATAGAACCAAAAAGAGACTTTGGAACACCAGGAAGTTTGGTTCTAATTTGTTCAAACATTTCCCCCCTTTCTGCCAGAGGGTGTACTTTTTGTATATCGAGTCGCTCTTATAACCGACATACTTGGAGATTTTGGTCACCGCTGTCGTAGGTGATATCTGTACTTGTGTCTACAGTGGTTCGCTATGCTTACGAGGTTCTCACTATTGTTATCCACAAGTGGTTTGTAGTTATCTGCAGGGGACCGATTGTATCAACTACGGTCTTTTGCAGGTATTTGTAGAAGACTCATTGCTTCTGCATCATATCCACCCTTTCACCAATCTCGGGTGGGTTGTTGATTGTACTTGTTTGTAGGGAGGCGGATCCTCCATCATTGGTCTTCTGTATAGCCATCTCAATCAACAGGCTTTTTTTGTATTAGAGATCATATTAGCACATACGACAGTCGTATGTGAACTTTGCAACTTACTACTGTTGTTTTCCAATATAGTTCATTTGACCTCGTAGGAAT